GTGAAACAGCACTCGAAATGGCCGAAGATGTTCAATTACTCAATGTGCTCTTCATCGTGATTGCAAGCAAATGCGTCACCATAAAGTACCATTAAGGCTTTTCATCACATCAAGCTTCAAACGCTGCAGCGTCTAAGTTCTATCACAGCATCAACAAAGAGAAATAAACCGGCTTATTTTGGAAATCTGCTACAGCGCAATGATACTGGATCACTATCGTGGAACAAGGCTTAAAATCCACATTAACAGTGTCGTGCTACACCTGGAACATGGCAGTGTCGAACAATTGTCCTAGTGCGTATCGTTCGCGGAAGAAAACAACCTGACTGCGCTACATCGTTCACTACCTACCCAAACACTCGCCAAGACGTGATGTCTACCATTTATTATGCCATATAAATCAAATAGGGTGATGTCATTTTTCACACCGAAGAAACTTACCAACTCATTAGATGGCGTACTCTCATTTGCATTCGTTAGAAAGAAATTTATCTGGGAAACTGGTGATCCCAGCCCCCAATACATAGACCACTTTCGGCTGTCAGCACATGAAAGGCATGTATTCACTAAAATCGGCGGTTCACATATGTGCAGGATAATTACCTAAGAGCTTTGTACTTAACCAGCTACTTGCGGTACTATTACAGCACGCGCGCGGACATCTAGTGAATGGCTGTGATCTGTCGTCTGCCGTATCCACGTCAATTTTGCCCCGTTCGGTCGTGAAGATATGTGTTTAACCATGAACATTGAAGCTTGGCTTCTCACCTATCAGCGCTCCCTGAACATAGACACTCGTAGATACGACAGCACCTAGGAAGATACCGTAAGCATGCGCAATATACACCGTACACAAGTATCTGCTCTCAGTTATACTGACCAGCGAGACTAATCGTACCGAAGTGTTTTATATGCGTGTAGTATTTCTGAAGCGAAACATAACTGCATCGTATACTCTCCGTCATAAAAACTTGGGACGGTGATTTGAGCATTCTTCTACTACAGACGTCAGGTGTGTTGTCTGCTCCCAGTAGCTTTGTTACCTTGTCATTGTAAGCAATTTAAAACCAGAAACACTGATGATATTGAAAGTGCTAACTCATCGGGTTTCTTTGCTATACTGCGACTCCTTAGTTAGTGCTGCATAGTGTATCAGTAATGGTGTCCCTATGAGAGCACAAAAGGATTCACTGTAAAGTTGCAGAGCGTTGACACAGGTGTGAAGCGCATTACGGTCACCGAATATGTAAATAAATAGGGCATACAGTCTTTGATCTTGCTGTCCCACTAAAACAACCTAGCTTAATTTCCTTAGGGATGGAAAGAATAATCTTCCATATGGAGCTTCGGTTCCCGAATGACTCTGTATTGCGAAATAAGTCCACGCAAAGCAAGAAAGATTGAAGCACACTTGTTTGTAATACAAGATTACGGTAGTTTTCATTGTGTTCTGTATAATCATTGTATGTGGTTCCTCGGTTCCTCAGGTTTGATGCTTTATTTACAACTCTCAATATCGCCATACGGTTTGTCTCGTAGAGCGACATGCAGATCGTTACGTGCCGATCTGATACCATCCTACGAAGTCTGTACTCAAAGTTGGGTGTAGTGACATTGCAAATTCGTACTGTGAGTTGAACATTTACGGCCTGTTTTCAAACATAAACGGACGAGGACAAACACGTTTCACTCAGTTAAGCATAAAACTAGTTATGATGTGCAGTAAGGTGGGAGGACAACGTTCAACATGTATCTGTTTCAAATGCAGTCCCAGCAACGGAACTGACTCGGGCCCGGTTAAACGTGGATCTTAACCCAGGATGAGTTGCGCGCTGCAATTTTTTCTCAAAGAGAGAGCTCAACACTCGAACACGTCTCACATGTGCCTATAGTCGGTGTTGAAGCACTCAACGCGTTTGCATTATTCGTCTGTGTGCTGCTTGCTGAAGGTCTGCTGCGAAGATCACAGGAAAATTATTCGGGAAAATCTGGAAGCAAATTCCGACCTCGTTACCATGAGTAGAATTTTAGCTGTGAACAACCAAGAATTTAGTGCCTACAACGTGTCCCTAAATTATAACTGATCCTACTATGACATCAAGGAACCTACTCCATGGAATTCATGTCGCAACTACGACGACCCATCCTACCTTGATGCAATGGTCCCCCATTAACAAAGTGAACGTTGCTTTCCTTAGTTGTACTTTAGTTAGTAACTACTCCGCTGGTTGACGTTACGTAAGCATAGAGTAGATTTTTTGTGGCGTGAGACTTCCAGTGAAGATGTTCGAGAAACTTCGGCGTTTACCGTCAGCAAACCGTGCCAATTGCATTTACTGAGAAATACGGAGAGTTGCAATGCTTGTGGTGAGTAGAGAATCTTCCTATAACGCTCCTGTTTTGCTGTTCTCATAACTTGGTAAATACAACATTTATCTTCTAATCGAGAAACCTAGTCGGATGATAAGTCTCACGAAGACCCCCTGGGCCTATTGACTTGATCAAGTCGTATCAAGAAACCGAGTTGACTGCGGGATCTCTTACTCAACTAAAGAAGAATGGCAAATGGGTTGGTTACACTACACAACATAAAATGAGGTTAAGAATCTTGCAACTTTTTAAATTCCATCCACTACTTTGTGGCTTGAGCGACCGTCTAATTTCCTCGATTTAGCTTTGTCCCCGCATTCTTTGAAAATAGAATTAATAAAACTGAGAAATGCCCTGGATTTAGTCGATTAATTACACGAGATTTAGTACTCCAAGAAACGGTGGCAAAAACGAACCTGAATTGATAGGAAAGTTTGGGAAGGTGCCATCCCCACTGCAATAACCTTACTTCCAACCAGAAGAAGGATCTGTTTGAGCATTCTATTATCGTGTATTCGTTTGACAAACTCGTTATGTCTGTGATGCTAGGCTCATTTTCCATCTGGACCAATTTAGAATAATTTTTGGTTACGTTCCACCTCGCAATACTGCACTTCGTTGTTTGTGCCGTAATCGTTTTGAATTCGTCAGACGCAGATGGCATGGCTGTGACTGAAACCCGGAAACCTAAATAATTGAGGAAATAAATAAATTTGTTTATTTCTCGACTGTACGAGGCACGGCCCAGTTTGTTGGTCTAATGAAAGTGTACAAGGGTTTCGTAAATTTGTTGATGATTCAGATAATTGGAGGAAAGTAGCCATGGAGAACACGTCATTTAACATCGTCAGTCAGACCCTTAAGAAGTAGTGTCAATCATATGTTGTTTGGTACTTCGCGAAGATCGTGCAATGTTGAAATTTTTGTCAGTTGCATGCTTGCATACACTCAGCATGCGGTGTAGTCTGCCAGCACTGCGGTCGGAAGCTGGTTGAGCTAGATTGTTTCAACATGTAGATGTACGCAATAACGATACCAAGCTACCAGACGTATTGGAACATTTCTCCACAGTATTTGGATGAGTCTCAGGGGAAGGGACATCTTCGAAAACTACTTCAGTGAACAGATTGAACGACTTGGAAACAGAGAAGACTGCTGCGGTTATGTCAGTTTTCAAAAACCAAAAATATTTCGAGGAAGATATGATACAGGTTAATACTGATGTGTTTAGCAGTATGCAGTGAGTAAACATTTGTAAGGGAGGTATGCAGATTAGCTACTTGTATCATGTTTGAGGTGGTTATTCAATTTAATGGGTCAGGCATGTATTCCTATGGATCACCAGTAGACCATCCAAGATTTCGGGATCAGCAGCGGAGGCAGAACTCAAACACTGGCTTAAGAAGGCACAAAATTTTTGCATAGCACATCTATCTTCAAAGGTATCTTAATAAGATTTCCAATCGAAGCCTTCGTCTTTAAGCACCTTAGTTGCTTGTAACTCATATCACCTTGAATACTGGCTGGGTGCGAAAAAGGCGCTTGCTCACGGCTTTGTGGTTTCGGAGTGCAGACCTCAACGGGCATCCTCCCGCCCCAGGTTCGAGTGGCAACGCTGCTAATGCTTAGTGAAAATTGCAGACACCTGCGGTACTGACTTTGGAATGTCATTGAGAGTGGGCGATACACAACACTTAAGTTCAGCAGAGTTCGTTGGGATTATATCGCGGTCTCCATAGTGATTGTTGTCAGGGTTGTAGGGAAGTAAATAGTTTCAATACAGCATACTAAAGATGCTACTTTTCTTTATTGCAAGCTACTCTTTCGATAACAACCACACCAGGTTGATCGAGGGTGCGATAAAAAAAGGAGACTTTCCGATTTCACCAACATGGACGATTGATCAAAAACATCAGAAACACTTCCAGTTCAGGGATCAACAGCATCGTTTGCTAACCATTGTATGTCTTCTCCGCGGAGCTGAAATATAACCTACTAAGTTAACAACAGCTTGTGCCTGAACGTAGCTCATTAGTCGATAAGCTTTTCTGGGTCAATAGAGTACCGAAGCTACACATAATTTGTCATTATAGACAATGGTGGTGACTTTCGTCGCACTCACAGGAATAAAATACGAAGCAGCGGGAGAAAAATCTGAGAGCTCATCCATATGGTGCATGCTTTACTCGAGCACTCTGCTTGGAACTCGAAGATCTCACGCTTTTTTCTCAGGAATGCGGCGGTTATCAGCTCGAGATTGCGAAAAATTGGAGTGTTCCAAAGCGGAAATCTGACACATAGGAGTTTGACTTTGCTGACACGCCATTTGTTGAGCACCAGTATCCACTGTGCGAATCATCCATCCTAATTGGTTCCACGTATGTTAGCAGGCCTCTACCAACTACCTCTGACAGACTGTCGATGGCTATGTGGACCACATACTGATCGAACGCGTGCTGCCGACGGATCAACGCGTGTGATCCCTAGCCTATCACCGGCAACAAAACACAGCTTCATCCTCGGCGATTAATGGTTTAAATATTTTCAAGTTTACCATGGTTCATGCTGGCTGTCTTTACACATATGCCTATCTATTCCTATTCATAAACATTTTCTTCCATACACTCCAGCACCGGAAAGAAAAACAGATAAACCGAAGAATTCGTCTTCTGCGGAACAGTTCACTGGTAAGTGCCAGGCTTTGATATGCAGTTTTTGTTTATAATATTTAACATAGGTACGAAATCGCGTTGGTATTACTGCAAATGATGACCAGAAAATAATCAATGGAGCTAAGTTCAGGAATTCACCAGGATGGGGATAAACGTCAGGGAATCTACGCAACATCCACTGGTATTCCACGTACCTAGGCGACCTGAGGACTGGCTTGATTAGGTTATCCATTGGATCGTGTGATGCAGCTTGAGACCGCGTTGACAACTGCGTCAAATGAGCACACAGTCGTCGCCAGACCTCACAGTAAGCGACGTGCATGTGCAGAGTATATGAAGTACAGACTTATTAGTCACTGGGAGTGTACTACTGGCCGTATATTCCGTGACCAGTTTAACAAGCGTGGCATAACATTCCCGCTTCACTTCGTATTTCATCACACAATACATACAGTCTTTTATTCGAGGACGTTGTACCGAACACACTACCCAAGCACGCAGTAGCAGGTAATTAGTACTAGTACCAGGTCAAAAAGTTGCTTAAAATACTGAAACCGAAATGGCCATCTCACTGCCGCGAAGTAGAACGGGTCTTACTACGACAGTGGATGCACTACCCGTAAGCACAAGGTTCATATTGTAACATGAGGTGTCATAGATTCATGATTGCAGTTCTAACTCCGGCAATAGGTTAATCACTTTCATTGGTCACACATCCATCGCTTTTAATGTATCTGCGAAGAATTGTGAACTTAGCAACTTTCTTGTTACCTAAGCTCTCAAGGTCTCCTAATGGCCAGTATTCCCGCTACAGCTCCTTGTACTGCGAAGCTGCGAAGTGCGTGCCAAGGAATGGAACTACTTCATGGGACCTGTCATATGCGGCTAACATCTCTTCATGCTTTTCGAAAGATTAGTTCGTTTAATCAAATCAAAAATCATATTTAACGAGGTTAAAGCTTTCGCCGTAATACTTGACAAGGCAGCTCGGATTAATACATCAAGCACAGGTAAGACATGTTTTCACTGGCTGCTGATCGTTGTTCGGTAAGTGCGCTAAAGTTCGTCTTGAGCTTTGAAGTAATTTGTGGCTATCGGACAAAGAGAACGTAAACTTTCCACGTGTCACATTAAGACATATTTTACATGATTGTGTCAAATAAGATGGAGTGATAAGACGAGTTGAATGTGCCAATAAGAACAAGGAACATATCTACTATCAGTCTGATGTACTCGCCACGCTCCACTACCACCTATCGCCAAAGCAAAATATGCTTTGTAATCCCACCTTGTAGCCGATATCCTATCTGCACTTGTCTTATCCGGGATTTCCGATTCTTAGGCGGATGCTGTATGAGTATGTAATCCAATGGCTCCATCACTACTGGGGTCGACTCGACGATTCTGTAATTATCAAAACAATCGACGACTGCAATTCAAGCATATAACCACTGTAATATATTTGTCCAGGCTGTCTGAGACGGACCTCGGTATCATATTCGAGCAGCAAGAGCACAGCGAAATGTTGGCCAACGTTGCGAAACCGGTTAACGGATGTTCTCATATTTTGAACTTTTGCTTTAGCTAAGGCGATGATCAAGTCTGTGTCGTCGCAGAACGAAACAAATGGGACTTGAGAGGACAAATCAAATTTTCCCGAAAAGGCTTCTACTAAACACTATCAGCATTTGCTACTGTTCATTATAGCAGCAGGGATGTCCTTGACTGCTATACTGCTAGATAAATTCCAGCAACTCGTGGTGCATGTTTGCTTGGAACAGTTGGTGACAGTCATCAGTCAGCTCTCTTCCATACTACTGCTGAGGCTCGTGACGCCATCAATCGTCCGACTCATCCATAAATCTTCGGTTGGAGTAAAGATTTTGGTCAACATATTCGCATTCTGCTCTTCATCAGTAAAACTACTGCACTAAAACCTTATACGTTCGTCAGTCATTCGTCTATCAGGCACCCAGTTAAATTATAGTTGACGTTACAGGCAAGAGATTTCGAGTCATGCATGACCGCAGCAATCCCATTCCGCAGAAGTTTGGCTGTTTCAGAACAGAAGAGGGTTGCAGTATAGTACATAAGGTATTCTGGCGAAGTCGTCCAGCCTAAGAGTGCTTCATTCATCTATCAAGGAACACACTTTCCTCTCTGCTCGTTAACAGTTAAGGAAGGTGAGTCGAGAGTAGTGGATTCCAGCTTCGGAAATACATCGCGTGTTGCTACTAGATATTTCATCAAGCTACGAGTACCACCTGCTAACCTATCTACCTAAGAGCTGAGCGCCACAAAGAAAGACATACTTGTGAAATGGATGCAACGAATGACACAAGTGAGACTGATGGAATTTGTTGGGATATATTACAAATAATAGAACTTTCCTGGTAATTAAGGCTTCACAGCTATCTGGGCACTGTTGAGACGGTGCGACGCCCGATGCAGCAAAACTAGTCTGGTTGCATGGAAATAGTTTTATATGAGCTGGAATATTCTCAGATCACGCAGACCCGGTTAGCAAAGTGTTTGAGGGCAGCAATCTATGCATTTTGTCCAAGGCACCGAACACAATCAAGTAGGAATCAGTACCAGTCCATAAGATGGACGAATTACAACCCATGAGGAGCATCTTATCCCAAACTCCGTATGCGGAAGAGTTCTCCTGACCTCTTTATTGAGAAGTTTGGTTAAAGCAGTTATCCCGTAGATCTTGAGATCCACTCTATATCGTTCAATGGAGAAGCGCTAGGGCTTGATACTGCTGTGCCTATCGTGAGTTGACCGGGCCAAAAGGTTTTGAAATATCCACCACATACAAGTGTTGCACGTCTCTGTGGCAGATTACTAACCATACATGATTCCTCCGATATAGAACTCCACACTGCTGCAACAAACGTGATGTGCCACAGTTATACTGACTGCCCAGTTTTACTTGTTAACAACACGCAGCATTAAGCAGAGGGGCAAACTATTGCACATCGGGCAAAGTATGCGGTACTTAAATCGGCTGTACGTTTACAGTTAGTTAATGACAAACTAACTGGTTAACTACCGGCGCACTGGTCTCCATAATCTTGACCATGCGGCTTGCAACGTAAAACATTTCGGAATCCAGCACAACGACTACGTCATTAAATATGTAGTTAACATCAAAATTCATTCGGTTGGGCTGTAAAAGGACGAGTAGGAAGGTGTAAGATAACTACACAATGTATCTCCGACAAAAGCAACTCAAAAGGGTAGCGAGAAAAAGCAAGGCATTCGTTCGCACCAGTGCAACGTTCCCAATTCCGAAAAGAGCTCTCAAGATGCCTGAGTATCTCAAAAATCGCCAGCCCGAAGCAACTACTAATTTTGGAAAATCTTGGCCAATTGTAAATTTGTCAGTTAAGACGCATCCAACTTCATAAAGATTATTATGGTACAAACACGGTGTTTAGTATTTGGGGAACTCTGAGCAAAAAGCTGTGACGAAATTGGGTGTAAAAATCTTCCGTTTTATCACAAATATTAACACCCGATTTTTTCACTCTTAGCAACTGTGAGCCATCTACTGTTTCTGTGACGTATACACATTTATTCACATTACCTCGTTCTTTTCTACAACATTATAAACCAACGAATTTACGCAGACAGCACCGCACTTGAACTACGGAAGATTGCAGTCTACCTCACACGTAATGGCGGCTACTTGATACATACAAACCTTTAAGTCATAAAATTCGGTCGAATTTCTTCTTAGTGAGATACACTTATCTATGGAACAAACTACTTCTACAGATATGCATGTGTACAAGCCATGTCACTTTTCGAAATCTCCTTCAAACCTTCCTCACTATACCAAATGCTCTGAAGATATTTGACTCACAACAAACACTAGAAACATTGACAGAATTTGGTATAAAAAACATTTGATAATAGCTTACAGCTAGCTTACCCACTACGTGTCATTACATACCATACCAAATCCTGTGTCTTTGCAGCCTAATAGTCCCTTCCTTTATTATCTACTCCTGACGATACAAACATCCGTAAATTTTACATATGAGTTGCGCGGGTCTAGGACTCAACGAAAAGTAAGCATGATCCGAAATGCTCTCAATAAACTTTTCTTTGATGTTCTGAAACGTGTTCACCATACAAATGCTCGCTCCCACTTATGGGGCCGTGTACCGTCCGCGGTAAATATACAAATTTATTTATTTATTTATTTAAACCTTTGTGTTAACTTTGCCAACTTGGAATAATGGTATATGACGGTAAAAAGCAAACACTTGATAGGTCCCATAAATGGTTGAGATGTAGATAGCAAAAGTTGTGAAATGCGGATAAGTGACTGAGTTCATGCGGGTGAACTCAACTAGAGGACTTCATGATAACAATATGTACACCTAACTATATGTTCAAAATACAGGCTTGCTTACTGTGTGTAGCCTCTTGAAAAACAGAAGTTCATATGGGGGAATGTAAATGACACAGTGAGTCGTCAAAGCATTTCGCAATTATCATGTGGTTGGAGGCTGAAGTAATTTGCGTGAGTAGGACGCTAATGACTGGTATAGTCGAAAAGTTCAGGGGGTATACTAGGTGTTTACACTGTTGTCAACTTTAAGTGTTGGCGTCTCAGTTTCGTGCTGTGACTGCTCCATGAGTAGGCGACAAATATGGTCGGGGTTCTTCAGGACTTGATGGGCTATTATGAGTCGTGTCAATGCAGGCCGCTATGCATTCCGTGCAAACTGTATATGTGTTTATATGGCAGGGGGAAGAGCACCTAACACTCCTAGATGCTTTTAGTTATCGGGTGTCCGGACCAGCTAGACCATGCTTCTGACAGGCATGCAAAACCCAGATGACATATTCCACATGGGCGTTTGTGAAAGTACTGAAGAGTCACACCAACCATACGAACTGTACAAAAGGTCAACCGGTTGGTTGCCGATTCTTGACGCTTTTTACCTTGTCTTGAGCAGCCAAAACCCTTTTGAACCATTGGAGAAATGCAATGT